AGAGGAAACATATAGCAAAATTGTACGTTAAACTCGACCATATCAATAATTGCCTTGAAAGTAAGTGTGCTGAACACTTCCTCTCACAGTAAAATGAAGAGATCATCTGTATGACCTTTCTTTTTTTTTTTTGGAGGGAGGAAGAGAAAGAGAGAACCATCAAGTAGTTGCTACCTACACAACCCCAACAGGGGCCAGGGACAAACTGCACCCTGCCACCAAGGTACATGCCCTTAGTGGGAACCAAACCTGGGACTCTCCAGTCCACAGGCAGATGCTGTAACCACTGAGCCAAACCAGCCAGGGCTGTGTGAACTTTCTAAAGTTCCAATTACATGCAGTCTGTAAAGCAATGCTGTTTAAACATAGATGCAATGATAAACATTTTAGATCAAACTTAGTAAATAGTTTTCAAAAGTCCCCAGAGTTCCCATCTAATTCTTTCCCAAAGTACTTCCCCTTCACTGTATTCCTGTTCTATTCTTTAGCATTAACTACTGCATCCACATTTATTAATTCCCAAACCATAGGCCAAGAAAATCAAAACAGCTATCTAAACAAACACATATTAAACATTCTTCCTAAACCCCCTCCTGCCCCTCCCAGGGAGAAGAAAAGCAAAAGATACAAAGAAATTCTCCCTGTTGCCTGGTTTCTGATTGCTGGAACTAGGTGTGAACAGTTACAATAGCTAGAAGACTGAGAAATGTATACAATCAGTGGGGGTGAGGAGCAATTTGTAATTAAGTAATTATAGGAAAGTCCCTGAAATTGTTCCATGCAATTGCTTGCTCTCCCACACCCTTTTAATCCCCCTGATATTTGGAAGTGATAGATGTCTCTTAATTAATCAAACTTTATGATATATCTTAGATTTAGAAGTTTTTAGAAGGCCCTGGCCAGTTTGGCTCAGTGGTTAGAGTGTTGGCCCACAGACCGAAGAGTCAAAGGTTCGATTCCTGCTCAAGGGCATGTACCTGGGTTGCAGGTTTGATTCCAGGCCTGGTCAGGGTTGTATGGAAGGCAACCAATCCATGTGTCTCTCTCACATCTATGTTTACCTCCCTCCCTCCCTTTTTCCCTCCCTCCCACTCGATCTAAACAAAATCAGTGGAAAAATATCCTTGGGTGAGGATTAAAAATAATAATAATAAATAAAATAAAATACAAATTTTCAGAAGGCCTATTTAGTTTTTCGCAATGCAAATTACCATTTTAATTTCATTACGTTTTCTTAGAAATAATGTCAGTATCACAAATAATCATAATCACAGCTACATACTTTAAGATCTAAAAGTAAATCTTTAAAATATCGAATGTGATGATATGCCCCCCAAAGAGAGAGAATTCCTATCCCTGAGGGTAATTGTGAGTCATCATCATCCATTACATATTTGAAGACACTTTCTTCAGAAAATCCCAGTTCCCTCACGTTCCATCAGTTTGGTTACCAAATGTTGCCAAACATGTAAGTATAGATATTCATAGCACTTAAACAAATAAATACATAATTAAATAGCTGATTTCAGCCCTGGCCAGTTTGGCTCAGTGGTTGGAGCATCAGCCTGCAGTTCAGAGAGTCCTGGGTTTGGTTCCCGCTAGCGGCACATACCCCTCCCAAAATAAATAGCTGATTTCATATAACTATACTTATAGCTACACTTGTATCCATATCTATATGTATATACAATGTTACAATGCCAGTTTTAGAACTGCTTTCCCCTGAGAAGCTGGACTGGGTAGGGATACATTCTACTGAGGCCCCTACTCATGGTGAACACACATGGGCTCTGGAAGACGGAGGATGCTGGGGGATGGATCTAGGATCATTCCAGGTTTTTCTGATTTGGTATCTAAATTAAAGGTTGGGCCATTCATATAACAGAAGAGAATCAAATGGGGAAAGGTGATAAGTTTGAACTTGGACCTACTGATTTTGATGTACAAGTAAGTTGGCCTGGAGGTCAGAGCAAATAATTGCAAAGGAAAGAAATCTAGGGCCACCAGTGCACCAGGGGTCACTGAAATCAAGACCATGGGTGTGGCCCTTTGGGAGACTGAGTTCAGAGAAGAACGGCAAGGATGGAGCCCTGGGATACACCAGCATCTAAAGGACAAACAGAGAACAAGAAGCCCAAGAAAGTGACAGAGAAGAAAGTCAGGGACACGAGGGGAAGTGGAGACAGTTGTGCTTCTGAAATCAAAAGCAAGAGAGAACATCAGGGAGAGTGTCAAAGGAAGCAGAATAAATCTATATTTTCTCAACATAATCTTGTCCGTGCTGAGCAAGGGAAGGTTTTCAGCTGTTGGTATTTTTCATCTTTTTCATTTCAGCTACTGAAAGGCTAATCTTAAAAAGTAACCCATAGAATATGTATCACATACATATCTTGCTAGGGTTGCTGTTACAAGACGCCACAAGCTTAGTGGCTTAAAAATTACAGAAAATGGTTTGCTCAGAGTTCTAGAGTCCTAAAGTCTGAAATCAAGGTGTAGGCAGGGTGAGCTCCTTGTCAGAGGCTCAGAGGGGGAGGGTCTTCCGTACCTGTCTCCTAACTTGGCTGGTTGGCCCGCAGTCCTGGGCATTCCTTGGCTTGAGGCAGGATAACCCCAGTCTCTGCCACAGTCGTCACGTGGCCTTCCTCCTGCGTGTCTGTGTCCAAATTTCCCTCTTCCTATAAGGACAGCAGTCATTGGATTAATCCATTATGGCCTCCTCTTAACTTGATTAGATCTACAAAAACAGTATTTTCTTTTTTATCCTCATCTGAGGATATTTTCTATTTATCTTCAGACAGAGTGGGAGGGAGAGAGAGGGAGAGAAAGGGGGAGAGAGAAACATCGACGTGAGAGGGACACATCGACTGGATGCCTCCTGCACAACCCCAACCAGGGCCGGGGACGGACTGCAACCGAGGTACGCGCTCTTAACCGGAATCGAACCTCGACTCACTGGTCCTTGGGCCGATGCTCTAACCACTGAGCAAAACCAGCCAGGGCTGCAAAAACAATATTTTCAAGTAGAATCATATTCTGAGGTTTCGGGCAGACATGAATTTTGGGGACACTATTCAACCGATTATCCGAAGGGTATGATCACAAATTTACATCTATAGCAACTAGGCTCCAGAAAGGGGTAAGGTCAAGAAATCAGAAGGAGGCACGCAACAGTTGAACTGTGTGTGGGCACCTGTTGGAGGAGGGCCACTGAGGACATGGCTCTTACCTAAACCCAAAACTGGCCCCGGGCGATCATGGCTCCTCATCCCTTCCCCGGCCTGAATGTATGTTCCGCTGTCTCCTCACTAGAAGCCTCCTAAGAACACTGCCTTGAATGAGCAATGTGTTACTGGACCATCTGGATGGTCCACTTTACTGAGCCCCAGTAAGGCCCCCACATAAACTCCTTCCACTGGGCAGAAGGGTGTGGAAATGCACATGCCTCTGGGCACCCACCGCCCTCTGGCATGTAAGTTCTCTTGTATTAGAACTGCCGCTTTCCAGTCTGGAGTGGTCTGCCCCCGGGTGCGGAAGCCAGTCTCTCGTTTCACCGGGGGGGTGGGGGGGTGGGCTCCCGAGGTTCCAGACCAACACCACGACCCGTGGTCTCCCTTCCATTGTCATAGGACCCAAAGTAACTGAAGACGCACTTTGTAGAAATTGTTCGCACTCAGTATTTTTGATTTGGCGTCTCATCTGCTCTAGGAGACAGCCTCTGAACCATTTCTATTAAGAAGAAAGTCACATGCTCTTACTCAGTGAACTACACACTCAGAAAGCCTTTCCGAGGGCTGGGACCTGGTGGCGCCGCTTCCACACCACGCAGATGGCTACGCTAATGGACGCAAACTCCGGGGGCCGTGGCAGGTGTGGCAAAGGGGCGCGCGTCTGTTTAGACAAAAGTACCTTGTCTTCATTATCATCAAATATTTATGCACCGGAGACTCTGTGGTACCATTAGGTATTAAGTGTTTTTAGGCAGAAAAGACAAAGTCTTTCCCCAGGATGATACTGAGGAGGTGCAAAAAGTATGGACAAACATAAAAGTAACATTTGGAGTAACTCTGACTTTAATGTGAACCAGTCGTCAGTTCAAGAAGTCATTCTGAGGTATGATTCACCGGCGATTCTTCTTGATCACTCTTGGTCCCTCTGCACCCCACAGTCCCTGCCATTAGTGACACTTTCCAGGGTCCCCCAAACCCGAAGCAGAGCAGGCTCAGCTGACCGAGCGGCGCGCTGATCCAGCCTGGGGGACACAGGTGCCCCGCTGTCCCCTGGGGTCCCAGGCTGCCCCGGAAGCCAGTATTAGGGATCCCACGCAGCTGCAAAGTCCATGTGTCTCCACAGTCCATCACGACTACAACGAGAGGGCACTTTGTATTGAAAGGTCTTGAATTTGAAACGTGAATCTCAAAGACCGAAGGCACGTTCTGGAGGAAACTGAGCCACATGGCAGCACCCGGGGCTCCGTGAAATGCAGGCTTCGGGACGACAGGACGTTTCTGGACGCATGGGGGACCCGGAGCCTACACAGGGCTCAAACACTCACCACTTCTCCGAACACCAAACGAAGGCCAAGGGCTCGGCCCAGGTGGCGCTAACAGGTGGCCGTGGGCGCACCCCGGCCGTCGCGGGTCTGCCGCCTGCCCCCGCGCCCCTGGACCCGCGGGGTCGTGGTCCCCACCCTTCCTCGCCAGGCCTCTCCCACCTCCTTCCCCGGCCGCCCGGTCCGGGCCGCACCTCGTCCTCGGCGGGGTCCGCCCTCCTCCCGCAGGGACCGGTCCGCTTCCCCGGGGACCACAGGAGGCGAATTCCTGCGGGTCCCCGGGGGGCCAAGAGTGCGCCGCAAGACGGGAAATTGCAAAAGTCTTGGGCCCTCGGCCCGCCCCCGCGGCTTTCCCGTAACTCCCGCCCTCGGCGCCCGTCCCGCGGCTGATTCATAGCCTGGGCGCCCGGCCACCTCTCCGCCGGCCACGCAGCGCCACCCGCGCCGAGGCCCGTCCGCTCGCGGAGCCTCCTGCTGCCCGCCGCGGTGAGTACCGGCGCCCGCGCCCTCCGCGCCCTCCGCCCGGCCGCCCTCGGACCCGCGGCCCGGCGCCGCGCGGGCGGAACCGCACGACTTGGCCGACCCCGCCCCGCGTCCGCTTGGCTCGGGTCCGACCTGCGGGGCAGCGGGCGAGGGTCCGCGCGTCTGCCCGCCCACCTGGCGCGTCGCCCCGAAGGACTAGTTCCCGCAGCGCACCGGGGCCACCAGGGCCAGTCCCCGCGCCCGCGCTCCCGCCCACTGCCGCTTCCTCGAGGGGCCGGGAATGTCGGTGAGGCTCAGCTGCCCCTGGATCCCCTTCTGCCTCTCCCGGCCAGCCCTCCGGGCGGCTTCGTGGTGGTCCCCGGACCCTCCCACCCACCCTCGCCTCCCACCCACCCTCGCCTCCCACGGACGGTCACTCCGCGCCCGCCGCGACTCCGCCCCTCGGTGTGTTTACACCTGGCGGTGGGAGGCGCTCCCGCAGGTGGGCGAGCGCGTCCCGTGATGCTGGTCGGGACCGAGGCCACCTCTTGTGCCGCGGGAACGGCGGCGGCACAGACTTGACAGGTTGGGCAGCAGGGCCCTGGCATTTGTAGGGGCACGCCACCCCCTTTTATAGACAGTCCTGGGGATGGAGGGGCTCAGTAACGTGCACGGGACCACAGAGCGGCTGTGGCGGCGCTGAAACCCGGAGCTTTGCTCCTGACTCAGAGCTTCATTTCCTGAGAGTCCTTCATCCCCTGCCGGTCCACCCGCACATCCACCCTGCTTGCCTGTCACGTGGTGGGGGGCACGGCGTCACCCAGAAAGGCCACTTGACAGCGGACAAGTTTGAAGACACTTTGTGAAGGAGCTTTTTCTCCAACTCAAGAGGAGTAAAGGTAGGGCCCAATGTAAACAGGGCAGGAAGGAGTTGTGGTGCATTTAATTGGATCTGGAAGGAAAGGAGCTTTAAGTCTTATTTCTAGGCTTTCGGTCTTATTCCTAAGCCTAAAACTGGCTTTGGGACTTGGGTCAAGTTATGTATCGTCTTAGCCTCAGTTTCCTTGTCTGCAAAATAATAATGGTCCATACTTACTATGAACCAGGTACTAGTCTAAGCGTTTTACATATGCTTACTCATTTAATCTTCACCGGTGAGGTAGGTACTCGTTTTGTCATTCTCATTTTATCAATGAGGAAATGGAGAGGTTAAGCGACTTGTCTACTTCACACAGCTAGCAGGTGGCCGAGAAGATTTGACTTTGGAGTTTGCTTAGCACCACCATGCTGTGCCTCAGACGTAGGACCCTTTTTGGAATGGCCCTGAGGTTGCTGTTTCACTGTTGTTCAGCTTTGTCTCGCTCCTGGATTGCTTTACAATGCACGCAGAGACCCTTGAGCGTGGTCATAGCAGCCAGCGCGTCCTGGACTTCGCTGTGTCTCGGAATCATTCCTGGAACTGTCAAAGCACTGGACTCCAGTCTCAGCTATCTATTCAGAATCGTCAGGGTGTGCTCAGCTTGCTGTCTCCCCTGGTAGCATCCAGTACTGTTAGAATGCCTCCAGTGGCAGGGAGCTCACCACCTAACATGTCCTTGCTGGACAGAGCTAATTCTCAGCTGTAACTTGCCTCTTTGTGACTTACATCTTGGTCCCAGTTCACTTATTTGCACACCAGGTCTCTTTTGTTCCGCCTGGAAGACCAGGATCTCCTACTGGGATGCACAGAGGGGTTCCAGAGTCTTTGATGTTCTTATAACTCTGTCTTGAAAAAGGAACCAAAACAGGAAACAATATATAAAATGGTTTTAGAAAAGGACTGGATGGAAATGTATCTGACAGGAGGGAGCAGTGTGCCTTCCCTGGGAGCACGGGGATGGGGTGTAGTTGGCTCGGGCAGAAGGAAATCTCAGTGAGTGTCGTCTGTTACAGGAATGGGGAGCCCTGGCCCCTCCTCTCCCTGGGGAGGAAGTCCTCCTTGATGGTAAAAAGAAATCTATGAAATGGAAAATAAAATAAATAGAATCTTGTGAGAAGTACCCCTCCCTTTAAGCAAGCTTCCTTGTAGCTACGTAAAGTGAGAGTTTATTTTCCCCTAGCTGTGTCCTTGGCTTCACGGCCTTCCTTCCTTTCTCATTTTAGTGCTCCTGCTTTGCAGCATTTGTTTATTCCAGGTTCTCTGGTGTTTTTTGTTTTTAAAATAATAAAATACTCACGGAATACAGCTCATTTGGACAGGAGAGAAGTACATGGAATGAGTTGTGCAAGTACCATCACCCTACTTGCACGCAGACGAGGGAAGGCTAAGTCTGGTAATGACCACTCCGAGATACTTTTTCTTTTCTATACATTTGCATAATATGTATATATACATGTGTTTTGATATGTGTAGACGAGCTCTAGTGCGATCTAATACACTGTGCAGCTTACTTTTTCACTCCCAAGTCTGAGAGGTCGTCCCGTGCCGGAACTGCCTCCTTCGGCAACGGCTCCGTGTTATCCTACAGTAGGACGCACTTTATCCCTCCTTTTCCGTCTCGGTGGTGACGTCAGGTTCTTCTGCATTAGCTACAGTACTTCAGGGGAGGCTGCGCGCTCATCTCTGTGCTCAGGCCTGAGTGTTTCTGCAGAATAGAATCCTAGGAGAGAGCTTCTTGCATCAAAGGGTTTGTCTGTCTTCTCACTTGGTAGATACCACCCTTCAGATTGCACCCAGACCCCGTGCCTGAGAATTTGTGTCCCTCGTTCTTTCTCAGATGAGCTGTTATCTTTTTCAATTTAAACTTTCAGATCTGGTAAATGAGTGAAACCCAGTGAGGCGTTCACACTGTTGTGAAACCATCACCGCCATCCTTTTCCAGAATATTCTTTTCATCTTGCAAAACCAAATCTGTGTACCTATTAAACAGTAATTCCCCATTTATCCACCCCCACCCTCTGGCCACCACCATTCTGTTCTCTGTCTCTGGGTATCTCATGTAAGTGGAGTCACACACTAGTTGTCTTCTTGGGACTTGTTTGTTTCACTTAGCAAAATGTCATTGAAGCTCATCCAAGTGTCAGAATTTTCTTCCTTTTTAAGACTGATTAATATTCTATTATATGCATGTGCTATATTTTGCTTATCTATTCATATACTTTTATTTTATTTTTATTTTTATTTTTGTGGTACATGCCCTTAGTGGGAACCAAACCCGGGACTCTCTGGTCCGCAGGCTGACGCTCAACCGCTGAGCCAAACTGGCCAGGGCTGATACTTTTATTTTAACTATGTTTTGCTGCACAGAAGTTTTAAATGTCTGTGTAATCAACTCTGCAATCTCCTAATTTCTGGCTTTGTCTAGTGTAGGAAGGTCTTTTTCACCTAAAAATTATTTTTGAAATGATCTTGTCTTGTAATACAATATTTTGATTTTTACATTTAGCTCTTTAAAAGATCACAGTTTTGTACAAGGTGAAAAATAAGAATTAACTTTTTTTTTTTCCTAGAGTTCTGGGGAGTTAACCTGATAGTGTTGATTAATTCATCCATCTTTTTTCCCCACGCACTGGAAATTCTATTTTTATAATAAAATAAGTTCTTGCCTATACAGAGGTCTGTCTCAGAACTTTATTCTGTCTCGTTGATCTTTTTTGTCTCTCCTATGCCAGTCTCACCCTGTGTTAAATGCTATAGCTTCATGATATGTTTTTAAATACTTATTAGCATATTTGTACTTTAAAACATTTAGAAATGATTTTTACACATTTTCTCTTTTGTATGAGCTTTATAAATGCTTGTGCAGTTTCATAAAATCCTGCTGGAGTTTTCCTTAGGATTTTCTTCTGTGTGGGCTGAGCTCTAAGCATGGAGGAGTGTGGTCTGAGGTTGTGCATTAACAACACACGCCAGAGTGGCTTCCAACCTTTCTTCGCCTTCACTTCCTCGTCTGTGTGTGTAGATAATAACAGACGCCCTTTCACAGAGCTGTAGGGAGAATTCCTGCGTGTAAGTCACTCAGCAAAGCACCTGACAGAGTTACTGGGATTGTTACCGAAGCAGGAACCAGTGAGTGTTTTCCATTAGATATCGATAGTATGCCAGGAGGTAAAAATATGTCATAAACACTGAATCTAGCAGTGCTTCTGAAACTTCAGTGTGCCTGTGGATGGCCTGGGAGCTTGTGTGAACACAGGGCTTTGGTCAGCAGGCCTAAGGTCTGACCCAGTATTTGCCTTTCTAACAGCTCATGGGGGATCCGAGTGCTCCTGGCCTCTCGTCCACCCTCTGAGTAGGTAGTCTCTCAATGACATTTACAATTGTTCTGGTAGTGATGGCATTTTCTATGAAGGTAAGTGTGATTGAGACTGGAAGGGAGAGAGGGAGGAGAGAGAGAAACATGGATGTGAGAGAGACACATTGACTGGTTGCCTCCTGCACAACCTGACCGGGCCAGGGGTTAGAACCTGCAACCCAGGTATGGGCGCTTGGCTGAGAATGGAACCTGTGACCTTTTGTGCAGGCCGAAGCTTTAACCACTGAGCACACCAGCCAGCACCTAAATTGTTTTTTTTTTAAATGTTATATGCTAAAGAACTACATTAGAGCTGCTTCCTTTCTTCCTCTCTTTCGTCCTTTCTTCCTCTTCTTCTTCTTCTTCCTCTTCTCCTTCTTCTTCTTTAAAGGAAAGAGTTAGGTAGAACACTAAATATAGCACCAAGTTCTGCTCTTAGAGCTGAAACCCTTGGTCACAGGTGGTGGTAAGAGGAGTTCCATGTTGGACAGGAAGGGCTTGGCTTTACTGGAAGCAGCTGGGGGCTGTGGGCTTGCGTGCGCATGTGCAGACGGCCAGCTGTGCAGTGTGGAGGCCAGTCGGTGGCCACAGCTGCACGGCCGCCACACTTCACTTTCAGAGATGGTTTTCCGGGCACACTGTTCCGCAACTTGCTTTCCCATCCAGGATGTTTGAGACATCCTTCCATGTCAGTTCATGTATTATTTCATTCTTTTGGACAGTTTCATAGTATTCCTTTGTAAAAATGCA